CTGACAATATTACAATAGGCTGAGAGTATCTGACAATATTGCAATAGGCTGAGAGTATCAGTAAATATTACAATTGCTGGGAGTATCGGACAATATTACAATAGGCTGAGAGTATCTGACAATATTACAATAGGCTGAGAGTATCAGTAAATATTACAATGGCTTGGAGTATCGGACAATATTACAATAGGCTGAGAGTATCTGACAATATTGCAATAGGCTGAGAGTATCGATAAATATTACAATGGCTGGGAGTATCGGACAATATTACAATAGGCTGAGAGTATCTGACAATATAGACTAACAACTAGTCTCTGAAATGAACATATTTTACTGAAAAAAGTTCATAGTAAAAAAAAATATATAATGAAAAGGAGCCCTGAGACTTTCTTCATTTTCATATTCTGGCTTGTGAATTCAGCAGATTGGTACAGACCCTGAAGCTGAGGAAATCTAGACTTGCCACATTTTCTAGACTTGTGTGGGCTTTCTTGGATATATTTGCTTCAGGGTCTGTACGAGAGACTACTGACAATATTACAATAGGCTGAGAGTATCTGACAGTATTACAATAGGCTGAGAGTATCGTTAAATATCACAATGGCTTAGAGTATCTGACAATATTACAATAGGCTGAGAGTATCGGGAAATATTACAATGGCTGGGAGTATCGGACAATATTACAATAGGTTGAGAGTATCGGACAATATTACAATGGGCTTAGAGTATCGGACAGCAGGCAGAGAGTATCAGACAATATTACAATGGCTGGGAGTATCGGACAATATTACAATAGGCTGAGAGTATCAGACAATATTACAATAGGCTAAGAGTATCGGACAATATTACAATAGGTTGAGAGTATCGGACAATATTACAATAGGCTGAGAGTATCGGACAATATTACAATAGGTTGAGAGTATCGGACAATATTACAATAGGCTGGGATTATCGGACAATATTACAATGGGCTTAGAGTATCGGACAGCAGGCAGATAGTATCGGACAATATTACAATGGCTGGGAGTATCTGACAATATTACAATAGGCTGAGAGTATCAGACAATATTAAAATAGGCTGAGAGTATCTGACAATATGAGTATCTGACAATATTACAATAGGCTGAGAGTCTCTGACAACATTACAATATGACATCAGACAATATTAGAATAGGCAGATATTAAAATAATAGGCTGAGAGTATCTGACAATATGACAGCAAGCGGAGAGTCTCTGACAATATTACAATATGCTGAGAGTATCTGACAATATTAAAATAGGCTGAGAGTATCTGACAATATGACAGCAAGCGGCGAGTTTCTGACAAAATTACAATAGGCTGAGAGTATCTGACAATATGACAGCAAGCGGAGAGTATCTGGCATCATTACAATAGTCTGCATATTACAACAGGCAGAGCGTATCTGACAATATTACAGTAGGCTGAGGGTATCTGAAAATATTACAGTAGGCTGAGCGTACCGGAAATATTACAATAGGCTGGGAGTATCTGACAATATGACAGTAAGAGGAGAGTATATGACAATATTACAATAGGCTGAGAGTATCTGACAAATATTACAATGGGCTGAGAGTATCTGACAATGTTACAATAGGCTTGGAGTATCTGACAATATTTCAGTAAGCGGAGAGTATCTGACAATATTACAATTTGCTGAGAGTAGGCTGAGCGTATCCGATAATATTACAATAGGCTGAGAGTATCTGACAAATATTACAACATGCGGAGCGTATCTGACAATATTACAATAGGCTTGGAGTATCTGACAATATTTCAGTAAGCGGAGAGTATCTGACAATATTACAATTTGCTGAGAGTAGGCTGAGCGTATCCGATAATATTACAATAGGTTGAGAGTATCGGACAATATTACAATGGCTTAGAGTATCTGACAAAATTACAATAGGCTGAGAGTATCTGACAATATGACAGCAAGCGGAGAGTATCTGGCATCATTACAATAGTCTGCATATTACAACAGGCAGAGCGTATCTGACAATATTACAGTAGGCTGAGGGTATCTGAAAATATTACAGTAGGCTGAGCGTACCGGAAATATTACAATAGGCTGGGAGTATCTGACAATATTACAATGGCTGGGAGTATCTGACAATATTACAATGGCTTAGAGTATCTGACTATATTACAATAGGCTGGGAATATCTGACAATATTACAGTAGGCTGGGAGTATCTGACAATATAACAGCAAGCAAGTATCTAACAATATTACAATTATATGAGAGTAGGCGGAGAGTATCTAGCAATATCACAATACGATGAGAGTAGGCTGAGAGTATCTGACAATAATACAATGGCTGGGAGTATCTGAGCTTATTACAGTAGGCTGAGAGTATCTGACAATATTGCAGTAGGCTGAGGGTATCTGACAATATTACAGTAGGCTGGGAGCATCTGACAATATTACAACAGGCGGAGCGTATCTGACAATATTACAGTAGGCTGAGGGTATCTAACAATATTACAGTAGGCTGACAGCATCTGATAATATTACAAAAGGCTGAGAGTATCGGACAGTATTACAATAGGCTGAAAGCATCTGACAATAGTAGAATATGCTGAGAACCTGGCACTATTCCCGGAGTATTGACCACTCTGTACCGTAAAACGAGAGAATAAAGCATACGCGATGATTCATGTGTTTACTGTAATGTCCCCTCTATCGGAATATTGTGTCATTAATAAAGCAGTGTGATTGAATAGGCTGCCTTGCACGTCCCTCCAGTTGCTTGACGATGTTAGCCAGTACACTATATATATATATATATATATATATATATATATATATATCGGATCATCCCAACCGTAACCCGTTCCAATGTTACTGTTAGTAAAACGCAATGAATCCAGTGTATTCACCTATATTGAATGTTATCACCGAAGGTATATTTGCATAATTTCTTTTTTACAAAAGTGAACACCATTCACAATGCCACCCAGTGCCCAGAGATTCCCACACTCCGCTTCATCAATGCCTATCATTAGGCTTTTGTATTTCAAACAATAGTTGCAGCATTGCAAGAAAAACACCTCCACCCTTATTCCTATGCATGCCCCCGGGTACGGAAACAGCATAGTGCCCGGGACCAAGAGACGATCAATAATGCATTGTTTTATTGATTTGTTTGTCGGCAGATGCAGGTGCTTCACCAGACAAAGGTATGGATCCGCGCTAGCTGCTGGTGCTAGTCCGTTATCCTGTAACGTTCATGTGAATCCATTGTACCCTTATGAAAAAATAATCACTATCGATGACTCCACGACTTGACATTTCAGTGCCACCATAGTCTGGTCAAAAATCGATATTATTGAAAAGAAATTATAGCGCTTTGTTCATTTGCAGAGACGGTTTTGTCTGCATTTCATGCAATACAGTCGAACCTCTTTGTCTCGAGCTATTAATATCTTAAAATATGTCTTATGTGTAGTTCGTCACAAGAAGAGTGCCAATGTCATACCAAAGTGCCCACGAGGGTTCTCCAGCTGGGCCTTGCATTTTCCTGTACAATTTCCTAACTTTTCTATCCAGCAATGTATATGTTCTCCTAGTTTCAAATTGTTGTATCACTTGCTTGATAACTGTGTTAGCTAGTACCTACGCCGAAAGGTCCCACTCATTGTAATAAAGAAGTTTACTATCCATAGAAATTTGTTTCCTTCAATTTCTGAACACATTAATATCAAGCAAAAATAATAAGTATTTTCACCTCTTAACACATTGTTATACTTGGGATTACACATTCTCAGTAAAGTACAAATTCTAGTATTTGGGTGGGTTGAGTCCCATCCGGGATTCGAACCCACACGCTCAGAGTCAGTCACCTTATCGCCAGCACTCTATGTTTTACATTGTCCAGAAACGGTTGAATTACGGTTAACGCGCATTAGCCCTAAGTTTACATCCACATAAACCTCCCACACTGTCATACAACCCAAATGCTTTTGGAAGTGGCGTTAAACAAAACTCAGTCAATCGCTCAAACTCACATCACTAAACACAAGGTTCGCTAAACAGCAACACAGAAAAGATCAAGCAGAGTGTTATCAAAGCGGGAAATCAGTTTCATGAGGTCACGTGCTCATGTCGAGGATCGTGATAAATGGTACAGATTTATGTTTTTAAAAGTCCGTGTTTATTGAAAAGAACGCCAAGGGTTGTCAGAAAAGATTTACATTCGATCTGATATAGATCAGAAATAAAATCCAGTGTAACATGTGTGTTTACAGTAACGGCTTTGAGGGATGCCTACCAGTTTCTGTCCGACATGAAACAGCCTTTTGTTTTATATACAATCTGTCACAGACAATCGTAGTGACGAGGCACGCGGTATGCAGAGCCTGAAGCTAAATAAGTTCTGTCGAAATGGCATGAAAGCTTGGCAGTTGTAACATGCTGATAACAGTCTGAAGCATACGCATTTGGGATTTCAAGTAGATGTTGAAGCTGGAAACCTCCTGACTGACAATGTCATAATGTCGTGATATCCTGCGTACATGTTACGTTACACAAACAGGACATTCCCACATGTTACGTTACACAAACAGGACATTCCCAGAAGACATTTACATATCGCCGTGCCTGGATGGAAGAAGACGCTCATAAAGAATGGAGACTGAGATGAAATACCATCGCCCGTCCGAAGTTCACCCCGCACCTTATATAGAGCGTGACCTTGACACACAGCTGTGTAAACGATTGCCATGGAAATGGGGAAGTTTGTTTCTTGGAATACCCTACCGTTGTTCCGAGGCGGCAAGCCACCCCTGAAAGCGATACTTTGTTGTTGAGAGTTGTGAAGAGAGGCCCGTAGCTATAAACGCCCATGCCTCTAATGCTATATATGCATCAAGACTCCACAATATCAGTTATGCTCTTGTTCGCTATTTCCAGGAATACATCTCTTAAAAACACACCAGAAGGAATACTGGCTTTAAGTACATAAAGTGAAAGTAACTGACCTGAACTGTCCTGCTTCTCAAAAAATGCAACTGCCGCTGAATCTAACAGGTTTTCTGCGTCCTGTTGCTTCCGCCCCAGATAAAGCGAATGCTAATGAGACCTGGCACCAAAGATGCTTCTCTTTCGCATCGATTGCTGATGCGGGCGTCACGCTAATGTGACCAGGGGAGGTAACTCGTGACAAGGAGGCCCTCTTAGGGTGAGAAAAATTTAAGGGTGACATTGAAACAAGTTGCGTTTTAAATGGAAGAATTTGGCATTCCTAGAGAAACAGTATTGGCTTCCCCAGTGCCTTCTCGTAATCCAGACTACCGTCATCATAATAATACATCGCCGTAAAGTAATTATAATAACTAGTGTGATAAACTTATAACTGAACCTTTATCTTTGGGATTAGTATTTTTCAACGAATTGCAAAGGACCGGGTAATATATCATTTGGGTTTGATTGAAATTGGTATTAGGACTGTATCATAGTCTGCTGAGCACCTCGATTTTATTGAACACATTCTATGCCCACCGCCGGTGTAACAGACCATGGCCACATCCCGAAGTGCAGGGAGGCTGGCGTTGAGGTGTTAAAGATTTTACGACGCATCGACATCTAATTCTCCAACACATGAAACTGTGATTGTGAATCTTGTTTATTCCATTTCGGGATGTTCCAGAATGAATGTCAAAGACTGGAAGACACTATAAGTTGTATGCTTCTCTCGAGGGTAATACATTGATGTTCCACAAGATCTGTGTAATCACACTTACCCTGCAATCGTTGTTTAGATAGTACACTTTATACTGTTTCATTGCTCACGTTTTGTGTGGAGGAATTTAGTATTATTATCAGTAAATAGTAATATCAGCAACAAAACATTAAGTGATTGTAGATTTTACATATTTCTATTTAATGACATAGCTGCAATTTCATTACTGTGATTACATTACGAGTATGTTTCTTAAGTGAAATTATATTCTCATTCCGTTTTCAACTGAAAGAAATACGCACTGACTTTGTGTATAAAGGGACATAACTCTACAAATACTCCATGCAAACTTCAAGCGAACTCTGGTATGACATTTCCTGCATGAGAACGGCACAAGACCTTTATCGAAACGTCGCTCTCGCAAAATAAAAGCAGTTGTTATCCATAATGTTTGTTCAATATGGCAAGATATGGTTCACCTGTTTATCCCTTTAACTGCAATGTGACCAAATATGGCAAATATGTGGATCTCACATATGAAATGTCACTTCTGCATCAGAGGTATGATGGTGTCCTATTCTCCATTGTTCCCGGTTTCTTATTAGTGGTGCCCGTGTTTTCCAGAGATAGCTCAGCCCTTCTGACAATCTGGGCAATGCGTAAGGCAGCCCTCCTGGGGGAATTCCCTTGCCCTGCCTGGGGTGCGTGTTGAGTGGGCAAGGGCGTGAACTGATGATGACGTGTTGGGGCCAGACTCTGCAAGTAGCACCCTGCTGCATTATATGCATTGTTTAGTGATGATGATGATGATGATGATGATGATGATGATGATGATGATGACGAGTCTGTCCAAATATTTTCTGGTAAATGTGTTAACTGATCACCCTGCTGCATTATATCTTGTTTAGTGATGATGCTGATACTGATGCTGCTGCTGATGATGATACTGTGAAAATATTTTCTGTTAAATGTGTTTACTTATCACTGTATAGGTCCTTTTCATATGGATGGACAATGTATTAGAGACATTCACATGTATTGTAGAAAGGGCGGTTATCCTGTTTAATGATGTGGCAAAGATCTATCATTCCTCAAATACGTCAGACATACAGGTGAGAAAAAAATGCCCTCTTTCCAAACCTTATTATCGGGCCACAAAGATGAAATCTTCCTTGGACCTATGTACAGGCAGTGAAACAATAAAAGACGTATCAAGTATTCAATACGTACACGGGTGATACACTATTCAGTATGCGCCTTATCATCAACATATACATGTGTGGTAACATATTCCCGTTTCCTTCAAAAGTTACGTGTAGTATAAATGTTCACGTTTCCTTCAAAATATACACAGGTTGTAAACTCTTCACGTGTCCTTCAACATGTAAGCAGTTAGTGCATTATACGCCTTTCCTTCAACACATATACAGGCAGAACAATATTCCATATGTCCATTTCCATGAACATATACACAGGTAGTAACATATTCACAGGCAAAACACTGTTCCGGATGCACCTTTCCTTGAACATATACACAGGTAGTAAAATTTTCACGTTTCCTCCAACACATATACAGACAAAACACTATTCCGGATGCACCTTTCCTTGAACATATACACAGGTAGTAAAATATTCACGTTTCCCCAACACATATACAGACAAAACACTATTCCGGATGCACCTTTCCTTGAACATATACACAGGTAGTAAAATATTCACTTTTCCTCCAACACATATACAGACAAAACACTATTCCGGATGCACCTTTCCTTGAACATATACACAGGTAGTAAAATATTCACTTTTCCTCCAACACAAATACAGACAAAACACTATTCCGGATTCACCTTTCCTTGAACATATACACAGGTAGTAAAATATTCACTTTTCCACCAACACATATACAGGCAAAGACTATTCCGGATGCACCTTTCCTTGAACATATACACAGGTAGTAAAATATTCACGTTTCCTCCAACACATATATATATATACAGACAAAACACTATTCCGGATGCACCTTTCCTTGAACATATACACATGCACCTTTCCTTTGAACATATACACAGGTAGTAAAATATTCACCTTTCCTCCAACACATATACAGGCAAAACACTATTCCGGATGCACCTTTCCTTGAACATATACACAGGTAGTAAAATATTCACCTTTCCTCCAAACACATATACAGACAAAACACTATTCCGGATGCACCTTTCCTTGAACATATACACAGGTAGTAAAATATTCACGTTTCCTCCAACATATATATATATATATACAGTCAAAACACTATTCCGGATGCACCTTTCCTTGAACATATACACAGGTAGTAAAATATTCACTTTTCCTCCAACACATATACAGACAAAACACTATTCCGGATGCACCTTTCCTTGAACATATACACAGGTAGTAAAATATTCACTTTTCCTCCAACACATATACAGACAAAACACTATTCCGGATGCACCTTTCCTTGAACATATACACAGGTAGTAAAATATTCACTTTTCCTCCAACACATATACAGACAAAACACTATTCCGGATGCACCTTTCCTTGAACATATACACAGGTAGTAAAATATTCACTTTTCCACCAACACATATACAGGCAAAACACCATTCCGGATGCACCTTTCCTTGAACATATACACAGGTAGTAAAATATTCACCTTTCCTCCAACACATATACAGACAAAACACTATTCCGGATGCACCTTTCCTTGAACATATACACAGGTAGTAAAATATTCTCTTTTCCTCCAACACATATACAGACACAACACTATTCCGGATGCACCTTTCCTTGAACATATACACAGGTAGTAAAATATTCACTTTTCCTCCAACACATAAACAGGCAAAACACTATTCCGGATGCACCTTTCCTTGAACATATACACAGGTAGTAAAATATTCTCTTTTCCTCCAACACATATACAGACAAAACACTATTCCAGATGCACCTTTCCTTGAACATATACACAGGTAGTAAAATATTCACTTTTCCTCCAACACATAAACAGTCAAAACACTATTCCGGATGCACCTTTCCTTGACCATATACACAGGTAGTAAAATATTCACGTATCCTCCAACACATATACAGTCAAAACACTATTCCGGATGCACCTTTCCTTGAACATATACACAGGTAGTAAAATATTCACTTTTCCACCAACACATATGCAGACAAAACACTATTCCGGATGCACCTTTCCTTGACCATATACACAGGTAGGAAAAATATTCACTTTTCCTCCAACACATATACAGGCAAAACACTATTCCGGATGCACCTTTCCTTGAACATATACACAGGTAGTAAAATATTCACGTTTCCTCCAACATATGTACACGTAGTAAACTATTCAGCATTTCTCTTACCTTTAAACGATACACAAATACTGAATATACTACCATACATTTTTTTTCAACCTGCATATGGATAGTAAAGTAGCAACAGTAGTATGGTAGCAGCACATTTCCGAGGTGACGTAACGTGACGCAACCCCGAAAATATGCTGCTACACTGACGCCATACACGTATGACGTCACGACGATAGGTCTCGTGACGTCACGATCTACAAACGAAGGTAGTGACGTCACTTGATGGTGACGCAACCTGGAAAATATACTACCACACTGACGTCATACACGTATGACGTGTCACGACGATAGGTCTCGTGACGTATAGACCTACAAACGAAGGTAGTGACGTCACGTGATGGTGACGCAACCTCGAAAATATACTACCACACTGACGTCACGCCCTACAACGACGGTATTGACGTCACGTGGTCATTGAACTGTCACAAATAAGGGTAATGGTCGTTTAGTACGTGTTCGTACATGTACGTGTGTGTGTGTGTGTGTGTGTGTGCGCGCGCGCATGTGACATCTACTAATGACGTCACACAGACCAAAATGATAACCATAAGAATCCATCCGTCAAGCTAAATTCTCAATTGCTCTCAGACGCGTTTTTACCTCTTAAATGCACCATTAGCGTGCCAATAATATTTGAGTTTTTGAAGGAGGCTAGGGAATCTCGTGCTGTCTATGTAAAGCTCTCTACAATACTAGACCGCAAGAAACACCTAGACACTCTTAATCACACGACCACCCCGTCTGTGTAAAGCTCTCTACAATGCAAGATGGTAAGACGGTGATATTCTACATGAAACAAAATGTGAGGTAGAAAACGGCAAAGCAGCAAGAGTGGTACCGAGTGTTACATTCTTTACCTCGTATCGTAAACCCAAAGCGGGAATGAATAATAATTTTGAAGGAGGTCTGTAAATGTCGTACTGCCAATGTAAAGCTCTCTACAATACTAGGCAGCAAAACAAATGTAACAAGACACTCAAAAATAACACACCCTCCAGTTTATGTAAAGCTCTCTACAATACAACACGGG